AAGTGATTTCATCCATACACATTTTAATGTACGAATTTTGAATGGCGCAAGAAAAAAAAAACAGCAATGATTTTGATCTTCACATTCACATCCAATCAAAAACAATTTATAATCAAGAAATCGTTATCTTTATTAAATTTTAAAACAAACCCCACCAAAATAAAAACAACTTTTTTTTAATTTTTTTTTTAAAAAGATACGACCAAATGATGTCTCTTTTTATCTCTTTTTTTAAAGATATTTTTCAAGATTTTTTTTTTAAATTGTAAAAAGCAAAACAAAAGCATAGTAAAATTTTTTTTTTTTTTTTTTTTTTGGTATGTTTTTGGTTGTTTTTTTCTGGGTGGGGGGGGGTGGTAAAATAAAAAAAAACAGGTTAATTTTAGTGACGACTTTCAAAAAGAACCTCTGCGAATAATTGTCTTGTTTAAAAGACATTTTAATTCGCAGTGGCTATTTTTTTTAAAAATTGTCACTATTTTCTTTTTAAATTGTAAAAAAAACGAAGCAATATTATTTATTATTTTTTTTTTTTTTTAGTTTTTTTTTTTAAACCAGGTTAAATTTTTGTGATTTTATGCCAATAAATATCATGTATAAAAAGTGCACGACCCAAAAGCACATAAAAACAAATCTTAGAACACACCAGCCTCTTTTTTAAATTGTAAAAAAAAAGTAACAATATTATTTATTATTTTTTTTTTTTTTTAGTTTTTTTTTTTAAACCAGGTTAAATTTTAGTGATTTTATGCCAATAAATATCATGTATAAAAAGTGCACGACCCAACAGCACATAAAATCAAATCTTAGAACACACCAGCCTCGCCGACTGCCACACTGGCCAATGTCTGGCTGCCGGCAGCCGTCAGCCGGCTGTTAATTTGTTGTTGTTTTTTCAACGGCGACGAACGAATGTCCAGCAAACTAACTGAGCCATTTTAAACATTTAACTAGTAAGTGTGGTATCCGATATGAGGAAAACGTTGTAAATTAGTTCAGAAAAACTATCACGATGACAGTAATCATTGCATATTTAAAAAAAATATTAAACGCAGAAGTGGTGATACGATTGTAATCCCTATATAAATATATGAGATACTTTGTGAATAGTGCAATATCTTGAAAAATGAGTCCGTCTAAGGGCGACAATACAAGGGCAGAAGCTCACTCCCCATTGCGTTTCACCGGAACTTCCAGAGCATGCAGCCTGCCGGCAGACTTTGACAGATGCGCGCTTCTGCTGAGCTAAACAGACGTAGCGAAAATGGCGCTGGTGACCGCATGTGCTACGCCATGCTTCGTGTGTTGTCGGACGGTCCTTTTTCGAACCAAGGGTACCCACGTAAATGAATATGGTTCATGGATTTTAAACGCTTGACTCGTTACGGTGCGGGCGAATCGGGGGGGGGGGGGGGGGGGGGGGGGGGGGGGGTGTCAGTCTATAGGACGAACTGTCAGTTAAATCCGGCCTGCTTGTAGAAATTGTAGAGTTTTTGAATGGCCACGACATACGCGGCCGTTCGCATGTCCAGACCGAGGTTGTGCATTTTGACGGCGGTCATCATGTCGGCGGCCGCCCGCTCCATCGTCTGCTCCAGCCCCGAGTGGACGATGTCCTTTTCTGACGCCCCTGTAAACAAAAGTTTGTTAGGAGAAACTTAGTCGTAGGTATTGATGCGTCATCGTCCGGGAGTCATGAACACCAGGGTATCCAGGGGCGAACCCCCTTACTTTGGGTGAATGGGTTGGGGGTGGAGGGGAGGGTGCGATGCATTTTTTGAATATACGAAAAATGAAACAATTGGCCTGCTAATGACATGATAACGTATCGGATCACAGTAAAATAATCTGTGAAAACTTCCGCTGGTTGTAAAATCAATGTCAGTTTTGGCATTCCGGACATTTCACAACACTTAAAATTTTGGTGCCCCGGACATGTTTGAGTGCCTGAAAGTTTGCGGAACACTTTCATTTTCGATAGAATGTTGATGTATTAAGCTCTGTGCGACCCATATGACCATTTTTTTTTTTTAAATGAATCAGCCGCTGCAGAATTTGATAACTAATTGACGTGGAATCAGTCAAACGGCGTGCAGTAATTGAGCCATTAAAAAGATGTGCAGCAGTTAAGCCATTACAAAGATGGGCAGTAACTGAGCCATTACAAAGAAGTGCAGTAGTTAAGCCATTACAAAGATGGGCAGTAACTGAGCCATTACAAAGATCTGCAGTAGTTAAGCCATTACAAAAATGGGCAGTAACTGAGCCATTACAAAGATCTGCAGTAGTTAAGCCATTACAAAAATGGGCAGTAACTGAGCCATTACAAAGATCTGCAGTAGTTAAGCCATTACAAAGATGGGCAGTAACTGAGCCAAAACAAAGATGTGCAGTAGTTAAGCCATTACAAAGATGGACAGTAACTGAGCCATTACAAAGATCTGCAGTAGTTAAGCCATTACAAAAATGGGCAGTAACTGAGCCAAAACAAAGATGTGCAGTAGTTAAGCCATTACAAAGATGGACAGTAACTGAGCCATTACAAAGATCTGCAGTAGTTAAGCCATTACAAAGATGGGCAGTTGTTAAGCCATTACAAAGATGTGCAGTAGTTAAGTCATTACAAAGATGGGCAGTAACTGAGTCAAAACAAAGATGTGCAGTAGTTAAGCCATTACAAAGATGGGAAGTAACTGAGCCATTACAAGATGTGCAGTAGTTAAGCCATTACAAAGACACGCAGTAGTTAAGCCATTGCAAAGATGGGCAGTATTTGAGCAAAAACAAAGATGTGCCCTAATTGAGCCAAAACAAAGATGTGCAGTAATTGAGCCAAAACAAAGATGTGCAGTAATTGAGCCATTACAAAGATATGCAGTAATTGAGCCATTACAAAGATGGGCAGTAATTGAGCAAAAACAAAGATGTGCAGTAATTGAGCCAAAACAAAGATGTGCAGTAATTGAGCCATTACAAAGATGTGCAGTAATTGAGCAAAAACAAAGATGGGCAGTAATTGAGCCAAAACAAAGATGTGCAGTAATTGAGCCATTACAAAGATGGGCAGTAATTGAGCCAAAACAAAGATGTGCAGTAATTGAGCCAAAACAAAGATGTGCAGTAATTGAGCCATTACAAAGATGTGCAGTAATTGAGCCATTACAAAGATGTGCAGTAATTGAGCCATTACAAAGATGTGCAGTAATTGAGCCAAAACAAAGATGTGCAGTAATTGAGCCATTACAAAGATCTGTCTGACTAAAGGCTCAAGGAAGTAATTTAGTTGTGTTGCTAAGAAAATCGAGTTTGTTCTTAAAAAGAGATTTCCACGTATGAACTTGGTGAAAAAAAAGAACAGAATAAATATTCGAATCTACCATTTTTATTCGTAGTTTTAAGCTATCTAAAAGCTATATACCTACCCCCAACGGTTATACTCTCAAAACTAAATCAAATATACAACTAAAACAATTTGTGCATCAGGTATACACAAATGGTATTGTTGCCTCTTTGCATGTGTATTATAAAAGATTTTCTTGCGGTATGTGTATTATAAATAATGTTCTTGTTGACTCGTTGTATGTGCAGTATGAGAGAGGGAAGGAATATTAAAAAAAAGTACATAAATTCAAACATCCAAGACTGGAAAATAAGTTAGTTTGTTCTCATGGAGTGATAAAACCAATATTCAAATTTGGCCAAATTTGTAGTAAAGAGGGGAATAATATTCAAATTATCATTACTGGGTTGTTTTTTTAATATTCGTCCATCCCCCAACAATTTCTTTTTTTTTTTTTTTTTTGGTGTCATTATAGACAGATATTAAGGGATCATAATTAAAGATAATTCACAACAGACGATGTACAAATAATGCATGCCCTTAAAGAAAATACACTTGGAAAGCAAGGTAATACAAACAGTTGCCCATGAGAAGAAACCATAATGTGAGGCTGATTTTAAACGTTAAAAAAAGGCAATTAAAGTAACAACCCCCCCCCCCCGAAAGCCATTCTCACTCTGTGACCGCAAGAGCACATTTCTGCTCACCTGCAATGCGCGCCTGCAACTCCTCACTGGGTGTGATGCTCATGGGCTTCTTCTCGAATCCAATTTCTTTTCCCATCCAGCTATTTATNCTGCACGCTGGAAGGTGAGAAGGGGGGGGGGGGGGGGTCAAAGTTGAGCTAAACGACAAATCAGTATCATTTTTACATAAAGATATACACGCATCGCTGGCTGGCTGCTGTTATCTGTTAAATAATGATATACACGCATAGCTGCCTGTCGTTATGTTACATAATGAGGATACATCCATGTCGGCCTGCCGTTATCTACTATCTGGTTAGGTGCGAGAACGAACCACAAGGAGTGGGTGGGGGTGGAATTAAATTCCTCTTTATAATTACCACCAAAAAAAAAAAAAATAAGCAACAACTCTCAACAAGGATATCCCATTAAAAATAAATTAATGAAATGACATGACAAACAATAATTCCCCCCCTCCCTTTTCTTTTAAATTTCCAACTTTTTAAAAAAGTTTAATGAGAGTAACATTACGCATCAGCTGTAACAGTGGTTATATCGAGCGGGACTTAAACTGCAGCTCCCAAGACTTTATCGAAATACTCCCTCACTACCGTCTGGGGTGGAGAAAACGCAAATTTTCTTAAGGACATTTTTTAGCCATTGCCCCATGTTAGCTGATGTCACGTCGAGTTACTACAAGAGTCCTGTTTGATTGAACCTTTACAGATGTTTAGTGCACCTGTTGTCTTTTGATTGGAGCAGGGGGTTCTCAACCTGTGCGGTGTCACGAGCCATTTCGGCGTCGAACTAACCTTACACAGGTCGCCTAAGACAATCGGAAATCACATATGTATGAAGTAGCAATGAAACAAATTTTATGGTGGGGGGGGGGTCACCACAACACGTGGAACTGCATTAAAGGGTGTCGGCGTTGGGAAGGTCGAGGACCGCTGGTTGAGAGGTGAGTCTCAGTATTACCTGTTCAGCAGGTGGTAGTTGGCGTCCCGCTCGTACTTGAAGGTCAGCCTCCCGTAGCTCACGTGATTCAAGTTCTTCAGCCACTCGAAGTAGGACACGGTGACGCCACCCGCGTTGATGTAGAGGTCGGGGATGACCAGGACCTTACGGGCTATGAGGATGCTCTCAGCGGCAGGAGTCGTCGGGCCATTGGCGCCCTCTGCGATGATTTTTGCCTACGGGGGTGATTGTTGCAAAATGAGACATTTAGTAAAAGTTGAATTTTAGTGTTTCCTCTGCATCTGTCTCGGACTTAACACCATATAGAAAGTATTTAAATTTGGCGAACACTTAAGTTGTTTTTGTTTTTTTAATACTTTCTATTTCTTGTCATTTCTTCGTCTGTCCTGTTTGCCGAGGAAGGCTTTTAGCCGAAACTTTCCTTTTTTTATTTATTGTCCTGTCTTTCTGTTTCAAGCTTCCACTATAAGTAATATCTCAGACATTTGACGTGGATTTGAATTATGTGAAGAAATACTTTTCTACGGCACAAAGACTTTGGTACAAGAAATTGTTTACTAACTGCAATATGAAAATTTCTTGTTAATAGTATAATTGCTGCACGTTTCAAAACAACCATTTTAAATTCAGACAACTTATATTCATTAGTTTGATAAAAAAATATCAAAAGTAATTATGTTAGTTTGTTCTATGGAGGTAGGGCGTCCAAAAATTTAGGGCTGACTTGGGAGCAAAAGTCCGTCCTTGGGCGTATCATTTATGTTTGACCCCAATCTGTCATCAATGTGCCACAATCATTCACGCGTGTACATGTCTCTGTCACGATGTGCCATTATCATTCATGCGTGTGCATGTCACTGTCACGATGTGCCACTTTCATTCACGCGTGTACATGTCTCTGTCACGATGTGCCACTATCATTCGTGTGTGCACCTGTCAATGTCATGGTGTGTCCCTATCATTCATGCGTGAACATGTCTCTTTCACCGGTGCGCCACTATCATTCATGTGTGCACCTGTCTCTGCCATGGTGTGTCCCTATCATTCATGCGTGAACATGTCTCTTTCACCGGTGCGCCACTATCATTCGCGTGTGCACCTGTCTCTGTAATGGTGTGTCCCTATCATTCATGCGTGAACATGTCTCTTTCACCGGTGCGCCACTATCATTCATGTATGCACCTGTCAATGTCATGGTGTGTCCATATCATTCATGCGTGAACATGTCTCTTTCACCGGTGCGCCACTATCATTCGTTTGTGCACCTGTCAATGTCATGGTGTGTCCCTATCATTCATACGTGAACATGTCTCTTTCACCGTTGCGCCACTATCATTCGTGTGTGCACCTGTCTCTGTCATGGTGTGTCCCTATCATTCATGCGTGAACATGTCTCTTTCACCGGTGTGCCACTATCATTCATGTGTGCACCTGTCTCTGTCATGGTGTGTTCCTATCATTCATGAGTGAACATGTCTCTTTCACCGGTGCGTCACTATCATTCGTGTGTGCACCTGTCTCTGTCATGGTGTGTCACTATCATTCATGCATGAACATGTCTCTTTCACCGGTGCGCCACTATTATTCATGTGTGCACCTGTCAATGTCATGGTGTGTCCCTATCATTCATGCGTGAACATGTCTCTTTCACCGGTGCGCCACTATCATTCATGTGTGCACCTGTCAATGTCATGGTGTGTCCCTATCATTCATGCGTGAACATGTCTCTTTCACCGGTGCGCCACTATCATTCGTGTGTGCACCTGTCAATGTCATGGTGTGTCCCTTTCAATCAGTCGTGAAAATGTCTCTTTCACCGGTGCGCCACTATCATTCATATGTGCACCTGTCTCTGTCATGGTGTGTCCCTATCATTCATGCGTGAACATGTCTCTTTCACCGGTGCGCCACTATCATTCGTGTGTGCACCTGTCAATGTCATGGTGTGTCCCTTTCAATCAGTCGTGAAAATGTCTCTTTCACCGGTGCGCCACTATCATTCATATGTGCACCTGTCTCTGTCATGGTGTGTCCCTATCATTCATGCGTGAACATGTCTCTTTCACCGTTGCGCCACTATCATTCGTGTGTGCACCTGTCTCTGTCATGGTGTGTCCCTATCATTAATTGGTGAACATGTCTCTTTCACCGGTGCGCCACTATCATTCGTGTGTGCACCTGTCTCTGTCATGGTGTGTCACTATCATTCATGCATGAACATGTCTCTTTCACCGGTGCGCCACTATCATTTATGTGTGCACCTGTCTCTGTCATGGTGTGTCTCTATCATTCATTCGTTAATATGTCTCTTTCACCGGTGCGCAACTATCATTCGTGTGTGGGCACCTGTCTCTTTGATCGGTGCACCACTGTCATTCATGCGTGTAAATGACTCCAGCGTACCTGAATGTCATTGGCGATCTTCGCCGTGATCTGCTTCTCACTAGCCGCGGGCACGAGGATGTCGCATTTCTCTGTCAGCAGGTTGCCGTGATAGGGCTCGGCCCCGGGGAAGCCCACAATGGTGCCGTGGGCTTTCTTGTACTCGTGCAGGCAGGCGGGGTCGATCCCTTTCGGGTTGTAGATGCTGCCGTCGATCTCGGCGACCCCCACGCACAACGTCCCCGCGCGGTGCAGGTAGCGCGTTGTGTGGTAGCCAACATTGCCGAAACCCTGCGGGCGAAATCGAGAAAACCGCAGGGTGTCAATTTGACAATGCCGAAGCAATGATATGGGACTGTTAGTAAAGTGTAATAAATATAACTATTGTAGGTAACTTACAATAAGTAAGAACATTTTTTTTAAGACACAACAAAAGAATGATAAATATGGAAACCTACAGTTGGCCCATCGTGTTGATCTACTGCAGTGGTTCTCGCCCTTCTTAATGCCGCGATCCTTTAATGCAGTTCCTCGTGTTGTGGTCACCCCCAAACATAAAATTCTTTTGGTTGCTACTTCATAAATATGATTTTCGATCGTCTGAGGCGACCCCTGTGTAAGGGTCGTTAACCGCCCCCCCCCCCACCAATCCAAAGGCGTCGCGACCCACAAGTTGAGAACCACTGATCTACTGGTTCTTCACATTATTGGTAGATCAGAAAGCGCATCAGACATAATTTTAAAAAAAATATTTAATTTTTTTCAGGCACTAAAGTGCTCATGACATTCTCCATTTTCTCATTTATGCAGGTACATCGAGTTGTGAGTGTATAAATACCGTTAAATTGTAGATGAAGATTTTTTGCCATACATACCTGCACAATGAACTCCTTTTGGTGAAAGCCAGGCGCCAGGCCAATGCTCTCCATGTAGTCGGCGTTCATGATGAAATTCTTGATGCCGAAGAAAACGCCACGGCCGGTGGCTGAGATCCTGCCGTGTATACCACCCTGGTGGAACGGGAGACATGAAGGCGGTCATGGGGGGCAACCAGTGGCAAAGGTACGGCTTTTATACGGCTACTACACACATTGGTTGTAGTTGTTTATTTTTAAAGTGAGCTTGGCCTAACAAAATAACACAGGACCACGTTATTGGGGGGGGGGGAGGGGGGGGAGGTGGGGGGAGGTACTTTGAAATAAACGGACAGGACGGAGGTTTATTTTTTTGGTGTGTCCCTTTCAATCAGTCGTGAAAATGTCTCTTTCACCGGTGCGCCACTATCATTCATATGTGCACCTGTCTCTGTCATGGTGTGTCCCTATCATTCATGCGTGAACATGTCTCTTTCACCGGTGCGTCACTATCATTCATGTGTACACCTGTCAATGTCATGGTGTGTCCCTATCATTCATGCGTGAACATGTCTCTTTCACCGGTGCGCCATTATCATTCGTGTGTGCACCTGTCAATGTCATGGTGTGTCCCTATCATTCATGCGTGAACATGTCTCTTTCACCGGTGCTTCACTATCATTCATGTGTGCACCTGTCAATGTCATGGTGTGTCCCTATCATTCATGCGTAAACATGTCTCTTTCACCGGTGCGCCACTATCATTCATCTGTGCACCTGTCTCTGTCATGGTGTGTCCCTATCATTCATGCGTGAACATGTCTCTTTCACCGGTGCGCCACTATCATTCGTGTGTGCACCTGTCTCTGTAATGGTGTGTCCCTATCATTCATGCGTGAACATGTCTCTTTCACCGGTGCGCCACTATCATTCATGTATGCACCTGTCAATGTCATGGTGTGTCCCTATCATTCATGCGTGAACATGTCTCTTTCACCGGTGCGCCACTATCATTCGTGTGTGCACCTGACTCTGTCATGGTGTGTCCCTATCATTCATGCGTGAACATGTCTCTTTCACCGGTGCGCCACTATCATTCATGTGTGCACCTGTCTCTGTCATGGTGTGTTCCTATCATTCATGAGTGAACATGTCTCTTTCACCGGTGCGTCACTATCATTCTTGTGTGCACCTGTCTCTGTCATGGTGTGTCACTATCATTCATGCGTGAACATGTCTCTTTCACAGTGCGCCACTATTATTCATGTGTGCACCTGTCAATGTCGTGGTGTGTCCCTATCATTCATGCGTGAAGATGTCTCTTTCACCGGTGCGCCACTATCATTCGTGTGTGCACCTGTCAATGTCATGGTGTGTCCCTTTCAATCAGGCGTGAACATGTCTCTTTCACCGGTGCTTCACTATCATTCATGTGTGCACCTGTCAATGTCATGGTGTGTCCCTATCATTCATGCGTGAACATGTCTCTTTCACCGGTGCGCCACTATCATTCGTTTGTGCACCTGTCTCTGTTATGGTGTGTCCCTATCATTCATGCGTGAACATGTCTCTTTCACCGGTGCGTCGCTATCATTCATGTGTGCACCTGTCAATGTCATGTGTCCCTATCATTCATGCGTGAACATGTCTCTTTCACCGGTGCGCCACTATCATTCGTGTGTGCACCTGTCAATGTCATGGTGTGTCCCTTTCAATCAGTCGTGAAAATGTCTCTTTCACCGGTGTTATATATATATATATATATATATATATATATAAATATGTATCAAAAATGAAGCCATCGAAGTCTGCTTACAGAATGACCCATTAACATCTGAGTATGAATCAGTCCTCGGAAAATTTCAACTTTAAACCAAGATAAACAAATGGCATTCTTCGCTTTTATCTTGCGTCTTCAAATGTAGTAACAAATTATTTTTTTATTTATTTTTATTATTTTACGAAAGAATAAAGATGTATTCTGTCAAAGTTGTTCAATCTCGCAACTGCTTACCTGAATAGTTTTTGGGGTTAATTTTAACCCCAGCTTTGGCGCCACCAAACGGCACATTGACCATGGCACACTTGTAGGTCATCAGAGCTGCCAGGGCAGCCACATCGTCATAGTCAACGTTTTCACTGGGTGGGGTGGGGGAGGAAAGGTAGCAACACAAATGAGTACACGTATTTAACAAATTTCCCCCCTCCTCCCCGCCTCTCTCTCTCTCTCTCTCTCTCTCTCTCTCTCTCTCTCTCCGCCTCCACTTTCCCCTCAACGTTTGACATTTAATGCATACCACTGACAACGAATTAGACAGTTTTGTCCGTGTCATCGGACACGGGCCATTACCCTCAGTTACTGTAACAATGTTAAAGAACAGGACTTTCAATCTTTTTGCAGCACAGCACCCCCCCCCTTAACCTCTTTTAATTTGGAAACGTATCCCGCACCTCCATCTTGTTTTCAATACATATTGCCCACACACCCCTACCACGATAAAAATGCTCATAAATATGGAAATAAACCTCATTTATGTTCTTGGTCTTCCCGCCACCCATGAAACTGCACCCCTGAACCCAATAAGGGCGCTGCGGCCAGCCCTGGTTAAGAACCCACGTTTTGTTACCTGTGTGATCGGCTTGCCCGTGACGCAAGCGCGGGCGTTGATGTCCATGAAGCCGATGGACGTCGTGTACTGGTCAGCGATCCAGCTCATTTCCCTCTCGGTGGTCCCCATGTCAGGGGCGTGCACGTCTATGCCAGGGTGGATGAATCCCTTCTTGGCGAACTCTAAGGTCATCCGTCGGGTGATCCTCTCCAGCTCGGCATCTGTCAAAAAAGAATTTGAAACAAAAAATATGTGTTTTTTTAAAGATATATGTCGATGGCCGTGTACACAAACCATCATCTTCACTGATAGTTAGTTGATGGCAGTGTACACAAATCAACATCTTTACTGATAGTTAATTGATGGCAGTGTACACAAATCAACATCTTCACTGATAGTTAGTTGATGGCAGCGTACACAAAACCAACAGATCTTACTGATTGGTATTTTATGGCCATGTACACAAAAACAACATATCTCACTGATAGGTATTTGATGGCCGTATACACAAAACAAACATATCTTACTGATAGGTATTTTATGGCCGCGTACCAACAAACAGATCTCACTGATTGGTATTTTATGGCCGTGTACACAAAAAACAACAGATCTTACTGATAGGTATTTTATGGCCATGTACACAAAAAACAACAGATCTTACTGATAGGTATTTTATGGCCATGTACACAAAAAACAACAGATCTTACTGATGGGTATTTTATGGCCGTGTACACAAAACAAACAGATCTTACTGATAGGTATTTTATGGATGTGTACACAAAAAACAACAGATTTACTGATAGGTATTTTATGGCCATGTACACAAAACCAACAGATCTCACTGATAGGTATTTTATGGCCGTGTACACAAAAAACAACAGATCTTACTGATAGGTATTTTATGGCCATGTACACAAAAAACAACAGATCTTACTGATAGGTATTTTATGGCCATGTACACAAAAAACAACAGATCTTACTGATGGGTATTTTATGGCCGTGTACACAAAAAACAACAAATCTTACTGATAGGTATTTTATGGCCGTGTACACAAAACCAACAGATCTCACTGATAGGTATTTTATGGCCGTGTACACAAAACCAACAGACCTCACTGATACTTAATTGTTGCCGGTTCCACAAACCACCAGACCTCACTGAGAGATAGTAGAAAGGATCTAACAGACACTAACAACGTATTAGCAATGTGAGGAACTAGCATAACTCTATCCGCCGTGGCTCGGCACCTGAATACGATTTTGTCAAATAGCACTGGGGGTAACAAGGCATTTTGATGTTCTCAAAGTATCAGTACAAGACTTGGGGGCATCACATGTCTGTGATTGATAGAGCGATAAAAGCTTGTGTCTGAAATTGTGATCCACCAGAAGTCTGTCTTCTGAAATTTTGATCCATCAGAGTGTCTTCTGAAAATTTTGATCCATCAAAGTCTGATTTATGAAATTGTGATCCATCAAAGTCTGATTTATGAAATTTTGATCCATCAAAGTCTGTTTTATGAAATTTTGATCCATCAAAGTCTGAATTATGAAATTGTGATCCATCAAAGTCTGATTTATGAAATTTAAAGTTAATGGAAGTCTGGACATGGAAGTTTGAGTACTCAAGTCCTAATATATATATATAATATATATATTATATATATATATATATATATATATATATATATATATATATATATA